ATGCCGTTTACGATACAAATATGACATCTTGGACGTTGTGTCCGACTCCTCTTCTGGGCGAATGTGATTGATTGAGTCCTTCGCCGATGCGCTGATAATATGAGGATATCTGAGTTAGTTAACATATGCATCTAGGCGCTGCCCTCGTTTGCACTCTGCATAGGGAGTTATAATCACGGAGGAAAGATAGGGCCGAGCCCGTCCAGCAATGGCGCGCGTGGGTGGCACCATTCCATAGAAGGTTATCTGAGAACAATGCAACCTAGATCGAGTCAAAGATACACCAATCGGGGTGTGATCAGACTTCTGGCATAAAGCGTCAATGGCACGGCCATACGGCATGAACTGATCTTAGCAGCAGCGGTTGGGTATAAACGGCCGTAGACCTTTGCCCCCTAAAACGGGCATCTGAAGCGAACATCATCCAAGGCGATCCCAATTCACTCTACTGAGAACGATTACGGAATGCACTTACGAGATCGCGTAAAGAGGCGGGAGGCGAGAATGACATCACGTTTTCTTTGGCGCACTGAGTCGCGGAGAGGCTCCCAGGCAAATGTAGTCGCAAGCTCCGGAAGAGAGATCGCGAAAATTATGATCATATGATGCCTGTACGAGCACCGCATCGTTCTTCCGTAAAGAAGAGTGTCCAGCTAGACTTCAATCTTGCAGTTCGTCCTCGGGGGTGTCGATGCTGACGACCAGGAGAGATAGCTGGTCAGCGATCCATCTCAGGTTGTATCCGGTTTGAACCGTGCTCACAAAGCGATGCCTCAGCGCGGTAATCTTCGTCCTCGTGTACCTTCCCTGGTGCTTGAACCCCACGTTCTTTTGTTGATGGCGATAGCTCGGCCATCGTGGGACACCATCGACCCCCCTGTGAATAGGGTCCAAGGTTCATAATCTCAGCGTCGCCGGGAAAAGTGGAGAGTAGGTTCTGCGTCAGAAGCGGGTTCTTGAACACGAAGTCAACCTCTTGGAAGTGCGTCACACCATACTTGACCGTCGAATTGTCATGTACTTGCACGAAGTAGTACGAATAGACGTCATACGCTGCTGCCGCGCTCTCCGCTGTGAGCCGGCGCTGTAGACACTCGTCTCGACGCCCACAAATGAGGAAGAAATGAGATTGCATACCCCCGCGTGCATGTAGATATCACTCCAGATGCTCAGCGCCCGCTTGTCTTGCGTCCCGGTGGAGAGAATACCGTCGCCGGTGTCATGAGGCATCCGATCAACGGGTCATCGGGGCAATATTCGAGGATCTCGCTGATGCTATCGTTGCTGAGGTGTGCGTATTGCGTTGCCAGTGCCTCCGCGATGAACGTCTCATTGTTCAACGTTCAACGTTCAGCCCCCGAGGTTCGAAGGACGTGCCTTCGTCGAGGTTGCCTGGCGGGAAGCGGATCAGCATCCAGTGTCAAATACCCGTTTTCATGACGAAGCTCTGGGAGAACCGCACGAACATCTGCATCACCATCACCCTTTCCCGCCTGACGAGAGCGTCATGGCAGATCTCACCGACAGCGATGTTCCTAACGAGACCGTTGGGCGACGATATGATACGTTTATGGTGTTCTGACACCTGCTCTGCGGATGGATGCCTCGGACTCGGACCGGATGACGCTCCTTCGGTGTTGCTCATTCGGCGACCCTCTCTTATCCGACCCTTTCCCGCCTGACGAGAGCGTCATGGCAGATCTCACCGACAGCGATGTTCCTAACGAGACCGTTGGGCGACGATATGATACGTTTGTGGTGTTCTGGCACCTGCTCTGCGGATGGATGCCTCGGACTCGGACCACCTTTCCCGCCTGACGAGAGCGTCATGGCAGATCTCACCGACAACAAGGTTCCTAACGAGACCGTTGGGCGACGTTATGATACGTTTGTGATGTTCTGACACCTGTTCTGCGGATGGATGCCTCGGACTTGGTCCGGATGACGCTCCTTCGGTGTTGCTATCGCTAGTTTCTGGCGCGGTTCGCTCCCCCTTGCTCCTGCTTGTGTCATTCGTCCTATCCCCACGACTGTTCCCGAATGTTACGTGTTGTTATGCCCGGGTGTGCCGTTCGCTGTACGTCGTGCGGGGCCGTTTCGTGTGATGCTTTTCCCCCCACCCCCATTTTGTTTTTCCCTACAAGGGTTTTTTGCTGAGGGGTGGGTGGGTTTTTATTGCACTATCGGAAGCCCCTGTATCGACATGCGACGACGGCTGAAGTGGGACGCCGCTAGGTAATGTATTGCACATAGTAGCACATACATGTACCTAGTTTACCTGCACCAGTGCTGAAGCGGCGTGTCGGCTGTATAGCAGCTCACGGGGGCCGTGGATGCACTGTGTGCGCCAAGCCGTGCGTATTGACGTGCGGTGCGGCAACCGGTTGTTCCGCTATTGGGACCGCGCCGGAAATATACCTACCTACCTACCTACATGGCAAGCTCCTGAATCAGCCGGGCTGTCGCGTCGAGTGAATCCGAGCAACTCGATAAGGGGCACATTCCTGATTTGGACGACGGATCATGGACATTGGAAAGGTCATGTGAGGGGTTCCGTTTCAGGCCCTCGCCTAACTTCGTGTTGCTCTCCAGAGTCTCCTCCCTCGACGAGATCGCTAACATCCGCGTCTCGCCTCGCTCTCGTCCGATTTCCTTCTCATGGAACACCTGGGCCTCAATATCCCTCTCAATCAGTTTTGATGTACTCGCCCGCTCTGGAGTGGTCGAGTGGTTAGCGGGCAAGGACACCTTCGCGTACACGGCGAACAACCGATCTCTGCATCAGTATATGCACGCGCTCGGATTACTCCTTGATTCTTGATAGGCTCGAAGAGATGGAGAGCTATGGATATGATGCTGTGGGGAAAACCAGGAAGGATGTGGCGAGCGCGAGCCAGAGAGGGTCGAGAGGGAGGTGGAGAAGCAGCGGGGTCCCCTGTGCCGAAGGAGGACGCGGACGCGAAGGTGGACGAATCTGTTTCCGCTGAAGAAGCTACCGTCGATGATCACGCCCCGCCTCCATCGGCGGTGTCACTGCCGCTGTCCCTGAGATTCCCTGGCAGGCAATGGCGCAAGCTACTTCAGACCAGTCAGCCAACGAGAACGTACACGAAGCCGCTTCGGAAGACG